TTATTTTTGTACAGTACTAATAGAGTGTATAACTATTTTGTCTATATTCAATTTTTATTATAATTTCTCATATAATGTCTCACCGACAAATTTATCTTCCTTTCTCTCTTTGAATAGTAACAAATATAATGTGAAATACAGCCTTATTGACAATATAACAAATGGGTTTCAGAAGATTTAGATAAAAATAGATCTTGCTTTCTTTCTTTGACAGATTTTAAATAGGCTCGTGATGAGTTGCTCGTTGATGTTCTTGAGAAAGATAACATCAAGAGATTTGATCGTTGAAAAAATGAATTTGGTTGATCTTTTTCGAACAAAAGTTTAATATTTACCTATAAAGCAATTGGGATGATTTTTAATTTGATTTGCTGGTATTTGTTGTCTTTTAGTATTTTGAAAAAACTTGAGATTTTGGTGCTTATTTCAACTCTTCTTAATTGTTGTCCTAACATCTTAATCTTCAATAAATATGATTATTTTGCTTGCGTGTGAATCCTTAATTAATCTTTCTTCTTACCTTGATGTTTATTGATTGTGATAGAATATATGCGTCCACTAACAATCAACGGACCAGGTCCCTTGACTCAACAAGAACAGTAATGAAGAATGAACAATGAAAAGAAAACAACACAAGCAGTTTACGTGGAAACCTCATTGCCCAAGGGAGTAAAATCACGACCTGTCACACATGATTTTCAACTGTTTTGACTAATCTCTTCAAGCAAAAGTGAAACACAGATTACAACCCCAAACGAGATTAACCTCTTAATCTCAAAGCTAAGTAATAACCCTATTACTTACTGAGCCTAAGCAGATACCACACTGCCCACTAAGCTATTAGCCCTGGATAACTTAGACTTCAACTAAGCAGATACAACACTGCCCACTAAATCAGCTAGCTCCTAGGTGATTTAGAATTTGACTAAGTAGATACAACACTGCCCACTAAATCAGTTAACTATAACTGATTTAGACTTTTACAAACATAACAAAAGATCTGATTCCTTTATAGATTAGGAACAAATTTACAATGTAAGCACTGAAGTATAACTCCTAAGACAACTATGACACTTGCAGCTCTATTAGGTCCCTGTTGCGCTTTTGGAGAATACTTCACTGAGATAGGTCTTTGCTTGTGTTCTTGAGAATTTTCAAGATGTAAAAACTGAGGTTGTGTCTATTGAAAATGACCTTTATGAATAATAGACACAACCTTCAAGGCCATGCTATTGGCTGAGGTTTCTGCCACAGTTGGAGACTGTGCATCAACCAATTGTACTTTTTACAGCCTGTCATTTGTATGCATATCGACACAAGGAACAGGTCCCTTTACAAGGTCCCATGATTTGTAAAATCATCAAAACTGCAAATAACAGATCGTTTCTCAAAAAATGAGTATTAGAAGATATCTATTTATTTTGTTCTCCTTGAGTTTCTCGTTTTTTTGTTTGCACATGTAATCAAATATTTATATTATTTCTGTCATCATTTAAATAGAATCCTAGCATTTTAATTATTTTGAAAAATGCTTTAAATTTTTTTATCATATAACACATTACATTTACAAGAATATATCTCTAAATCTATTGCATTTTCTTGAATTATTTTAACGTAATGATTGTACTTTAGGAAAAATTATTTTATCTTCTTCTGTGTTTTCTACGTTACTTGATGAGAATAACTTAAAATAGCAGTTGAAATGTAGTTGATATATATGATCAACTCTCAAGGTTACATTTTATTTTATTACACATAAAATAGATGTATATAACTGAAAATATTCTTTTTTAGATGTGTAACAATGAAGTCATAATGAGTTATTTATAGAAGAGGACGATTGCTCAAGCGTGATGTAGATGAAATAAGTGTCACACATGCAAATCTGCTCTCATGAATGTGCAACATGTGATAGTAGACTAATTGCATGTGTGTACATATGACAAGTGTCTAATGTGCATGACCCAAGGACGGAAGCAACATAGGGGTTCATCCGAACCCCCTCGACGGAAAATATTTACTATTTCTATATGGTTAAAATTATTTTTTTGGTATATATAATAGATATTGAACCCCCTTCCATTAGTTCGTGTGTTTACTTCTCAAATTTTGAATCCCTTATTAAAAATCCCGACTTCGCCACGGACATGACCTACTTTATGCATGTTTGACAAGTGATAACAATGTAAACAAACACCTTCTTACATATGCGATACATGTCCCTTATGTATGACAATAGCCATGCAACGTGATATGTGTCACGCTAATTAATCATGCTGATGCATGTCATAATTTTTAAATCACTTTATTAGATATAGACATCTCCAAATTATGAGATAGACAATTAAATCTCTATTTTTCATCAAAATGGAACGTTACTTAATTGCCTTAAAATTACTCTATAAATTTTAATTAATGTTTTTTTAATTGGTACTTTAATTTATTAAACTCAATTTAATTATGGACAGAGAGTTGATATTGAGGGTATTTCTGAACCAAAAGGTGGACGCCAGGGGTATTTGGGGGCCAAAAGGTGGATAAAAGATAGTTTTGTACCAATTTGAATAGTTGAGGGGAATTTTAGACCCTTTTCCGATGCTTCTTTATTTTAAAAATTAAAATTGAATAATTTTCAATATTTCATATGCAGTAGTAACTGTTTCTATTACTACTAGAGTGACATTGCACTCAAGGTGTTTGATTTTTTCATATGGTCTTTGAACAATATTTTGAGAGTAAGCAAATTTTATCAAACACTACTCTTAAATGCAAGCAATAAAAACTATAAAATAATGCACACAATAGTAATTGGAAAGACTTCAGAACGATCACGAGAATTATGAGAGAAATATTCTCAAACTCCTAATGAAAGACTCTTATTTCTTATATGTGTTAATTCAAGTGATAAATTGTGGAAATATTTTCAAATCTCATTTTGGTCCAGATTGAAGAATTGCAGAGAAGACATAAATGATGAATGAATCTAGACAGGAGATGCAATACGATACGTGTTAGAAAGAAGAATGAACCTTCTCATTATCAATAAAAGCATCTAATCTATTCAGTTCTAATACATCACTATTTATAGAACAATAACTAAGAATAACTAACTCTGACACTCTAGTAACTAACTCTAGCTAATCTGTTACATAAAGACTGCTTATTAGTTGTACATAATTTCACACCCCTCCTCAAGCTGATGGTTGAAAGAGGTTCTTCAACCCAAGCTTGGACATTAAGTAGTCATGTGGTAGCTTCCCTAAGCTCTTGGTAAGTAAATCAGCCAGTTGTTCCTTGGTGGATACATGATGTGTTTGAATTAAGTTTTGCATAATCTTCTCCCTCACAAAATGACAGTCTATGTCAATATGTTAGATTCTCTCATAAAAGATAGGGTTAACTGCAATTTGAATTGCGACCTTACTATCACAAAATAGTTGCACTGGTCGTGTGATACTCACCCCAACTCTTTATACAAACCTTCTAACCAAGTTATCTCAACCACAGATGATGCCATACACCTAAACTCAGCTTCTGCAGAGCTCCTAGCCACTGTGTCCTGTTTCTTTGACTTCCAAGACACCAAGGCTTTTCCAAACATCACCATATACCCAGTAACAGACCTCCTCGATTCAATGCAATCTCCTCAATCAGAGTCACAATATGCCATTAACTTGTCTGTGTTTTCGGAGGGCATCAACAGTCCAAGTCTTGGCTCAGCTTTGATATACCTCACCACCCTCAAAGCTGCATCCATATGTGACTGTTTTGGTTTGTGCATAAATTGACTTAACATTTATGCTGCATATGTTATATCCACTCTTGATATGGTCCTGCATCATCCAGAGTTTTGTCAGTGACTCCATCTGTTAGATTCTTCACATGATCATCAAAATCAGTGGAAGTTAATTTGATATTGGCCTCCATTGGTGTGTTGCCTGGTTTGGCTCTACTTAGTCCCATCTCAACAACTAGTTCTAGAGCATACTTTCTTTGGCTCATGTGAATTCCTTGTTGGGATCTTGCAATTTCAATCTCCAAGAAGAACTTCAGCTGTCCCAAATCCTTCATCTTGAATTTCAGCTTCAGATTATTTCTAGTTTGTAATATCAACTCTGAACTGCTGCCAGTGATCAACAAATCATTCATATATACTAAAACTACAACTACCTGAGAGCATGTCCTTTTGGTAAACAAGGAGTAATCAAAATGACTTTGAGTAAAACCAAGTTGTACCTAAAGCTTCAGTAAGTTTTTTGTTCCATTGTCTAGGTGTTTGCTTTAGGCCATACAAAGATTTATTGAGCTTACAAACCTCCCCCCCCCCGACTACCAAACCCCTGAGGAACATGCATATACACCTCTTCAAGAAGATCACCATGGAGAAAGGCATTGTGCACATCCATTTGAAATATAGGCCAGTGCTGAGCAGCAGCAAATGCAACAACACTCCGAACAGTTACCATTTTAGCTACAGGGGAAAAAGTGTAAGTATAACCTAATCCTTTCTTCTGACTGAACCCTTTTGCCACTAGTCGAGCCTTATACCTGTCAACTTCACCATTGGCCTTGTGTTTGATTTTAAAGACCCATTTACACCCAATACGAGATTTACCAGAGGGAAGGTCCACCAGTGTCCAAGTGTGATTGTCCTCCAGGGCAGCAATTTTTTATTTCATAACATCAACCCAGAAAGAGCTTTTAACTGCCTCATAGTAGTTGGAAGGCTCTGAAGTAGCTAAGTAAGCAGTAAAGGCAGTATTATAGGACTCAGACAAGCAGTCATAGTTGACATAGTTTGAGATGGGAAACAAACATGAACTAAAACCCTTAGAGGGAGCAACATAATCCTCCATCCATATGAGGGGTTTGGTGGTCCTATGAGACTGTCTGAGAGGTACCGCAGTAAGAGATGGAGGAGGAACAACCATAGGCTTAGGAGGTTCAACAAGATCAGGAATAGAAGACTCAGCATCATGAGGAACACTAAATGTCATACACTAAGATGAATGATAGTGTTCTGGAGCCTGAGTAATACTAAACATAGGAGAGCACTGCTGCAAGGGGTGTTGAAAAGGGAATACATCCTCTTTGAATACCACATCCCTGCTCACTATAAATGAGTCTGTATGAAGGTTGAACATTAAATACCCTTTCTGAGTGAGGGAATAACCAAGAAAAATTGCAGGGGCTGCTCTAGGAGAGAATTTATCTGACTTTCTAAGGCAAGTAACATAGCCCAAACAACCAAAGACTCTCAAGTGATTGAGATCAGGAATATGCCCATGAAGAGCTTCAAAGGGAACCTTACCGAAAAAGGGCAACCTATTGATAAGATAAACAACAGTACTGACACATTCTCCCCAGAACTTGAGATGAACATTAGCCTGAAACCTTATAGCTCTAGTAGTATCCAAGATATATCGATGCTTTCTCTCAACCACCCCATTTTGTTGGAGTGTATAGACACAAGAACTTTGATGTATAATTCCCAAATCTCTTAATAATTTGGAAACCTGAGAGTTGAAAAATTCACATCCATTATCTGTCCTTAGAAATTTAACTACTGCAGAATACACATTCTTGATCATCAACAAAAAAATCAGCGAGAGCCATTATAACCTTAGACTTGGAGTTAAGTAAAAATAACCAGGTGAATCTAGAGTGATCATCAACTAATGTGAAAAAATATTTCTTCCCATCATGAGTTGGTACCCTATAAGGACCCACACATCACCATGAATAAGAGTAAAATATGCATCAGACATTGTGGAACTAAGAGGAAAAGGAAGTCTTGATTGCTTAGCCAAAGGGCATACAGTACAATGTTCAGAATCAGAATCAGTCATACACAGAACATCAAGACATTTCAGCTTCTTTAATGTGTCTATAAGAGCATGACATAACCTCTTATGCCAGAGAGCTAGGCCTAAACTATTCTTCTGTTTTCTAATTAGAAAATAACAGCAACTAGACTTGTAGAGATCTTTATTGTCAGAATCAGACTTCAGAAAGTGCATGCAGAGTTCATCACATACATGCCTTGAACATGCTTACCAATCCCTCTCACCCTTCTATTGAAGAGATCCATGTGATGTGTAGCTCATGTATCCACTATCCAGTTAACAACATCAGTAGGAGATGTAGTGTAACTAACCATACCTGCTGATAGAGAGTTGTACCATTGTTATCATTTCCTTGGTCAATCAGATGAATGAGTTGATGATATTGTTCAGGTATGAAGTAAGGTCCACTTGCATTTGGACCATGCTGATGATAAGAATTCATCACCTGCGCTGAACTATCACCAGGCTGACCTGCAACATTTGGTAATCCCCTGTTGGTAGAGATGCTTACTGAATTGCTAGGATCAGAGGATCCATATTCTCCAGCAGCATAATGTGCATCACCTCCTCCCCCTGATGTTGGACTAAACTTCTTCTTGGAATTATGCTTGAAATTTGTTGGATAACCATGCAGTCTGTAACAATGTTACACCACTGGTATGGCCAGTATGATGACAATAGTCACAGTATAAATGTTGATTACTCTTTTTAGACTTATAACCAAAATCAGAATTAGTCGACACACCTGAGATGGAGCCACCACCTCCACCTCTATTATAAATATATCCATTGTAATTATATCCAGCTCCAGAGTTAGAAGTACTTTCATTATATGCAGACCTATATGATGTAGAACTCGAACCTGATCCAGGTTTGAAATTACTTTTGTTGTTGTAGAACACAACACCATCACTCACTTCAGCAGTAAACTGAGAAGTCTTCCCCAATGATCTTTGACTCTTCTCTGAAATCAACATGGAATAGGCTTGATTGATAGAGGGTGTAGGAGTCATCATAAGGATTTGACTACGACTCTGAGCATAGGAGTCATTTAGACCAGTCAAAAATTGAAGTAACCTCTGATAGTCAAAATGATGCACATAAGCCTTTGATTTTGGACAATTGCATCCTGGACATGACATTATTGCATCAAACTCATCCCAACACTCTCGTAATCTAGAAAAATATCCAGATACAGTGGTAGTGCCCTGAGACATTGTATGAATTTCCTTATGAAGAAAATGAATTCCCAATCCATTAACTTTATCAAAACGTTCTTTCATATCTGTCCATACCTTTGAAGCATTAGAGACATAGATGACACTGCTCAAGAGATCCTTTCTGATAGAATTGATGATCCACGAGAGAACTATGGCATTACATTTCTCCCATAGATCGTGGAGTGCATGAGGAAAAAATTCTCTAGGATGTTTACCATTGACAAATCCCAGTTTACTCTTTCCAAGCAGACCCAGACGCATCGACCTACTTCAGATCGCATAATTTTCTGGACCAGTGAGCTGAATTGAGACCAGAGAACTACTAGGAGAATCACTAGGTTGAAGAAACAATTGATGATTATGATCAATCTCAACTACACGGTTTACTCCGGGTGCATTGGCAAGTTGATCTTCAACCGCCATTGATGATATCTCTGAGAAGAAATTAAGTACACCAACAGAGTGTAAACGAATTAACCATCAACACTGAATCTCTGCTTAATCGAATACCAAAGCTCTGATACCATGAAGAATTGCAGAGAAGACAGAAATAATGAATGAATCTAGACATGAGATGCAGTAAGATACATGGGAGAAAGAAGAATGAACCTTCTCATTATCAATAAAAACATCTAATCTATTCAGTTCTAATACATCACTATTTATAGAGCAGTAACTAAAAATAACTAACTCTGACACTCTGGTAACTAACTCTAGCTAATTTGTTACATAAAGACTGCTTATTAGTTGTACATAATTTCACACAGATGACGGACATCATATGGATTGAAACTGAGTCCAAAGTAGTTTGAGTGTGAGAGGTAAGTTCTACATTTTTTTAATTATGTATGCTTAGTTATAATGCAAAATAATTATATTACATATCTAATGTTATATAAATCTGTTTACTTTTTAAAAATAATTAAATGTTAAGATTGCATAGTCGTACTTTAATGAGTTATAACATAATAATCGCACAATTTGGATTCACAAGATTTTTCAAGTCCAATATACTTAAGGTGAAGAAGGACAGACAATACTTGAAGTGTAAGCGGTAAGTTCTATGTAATTAGTAGTTTGAATTGATAGAAAGGTGCAAAACAATATATAGCCAACCTGGCCTTCTATATAACATACTCCCAATAGTATTTGAATGCTTAGGGAAAATGCACGTGTGTGAGACCATCTTGCTTCCCCTAACACATACTCAGACCATGTTTAATTTTCATTTATTTTTGGTGATTATTTCTCTTCAACTCTTATATTACTAAATTATGTCCTCCACTATCATGTATGTATTGAAAAGGTGTACAAACTGTTGGTGAAGGCAACAACAGGTGGTGGAAAATTGGTAGACGCAAATGTTATGATAGATCAACGAACATAATCAAAAGTATTGACATTTCTTGTCTGGTCAACCCCAAAAGTGCTTAAAAGGTTCATAAAGTTAATTCCATTTATGTGAGTGTCCTAAGATTTGTTAATCGAATAAGGTAACTACTGTTCAGTACTATTGGAAGTACATATAATTTTCTTGTCTAAAAAGCTTATCTTTTCTTGAGATCTTCCCCATTTCATTTAAGATTTTGCCTCATCAAAATTAACTTGGGAAAGATGAGTTCATTTTTATAGAATCTGCTTTCTCTTGATTCGATTCCCCATGTAATAACCAGGAGCATGTACATTAATTATTTATCTCACTTAAAATGTATATGATCACGTCACTAAAATGAACTATTCAAATAGTGGTTGTGATTTATTAATTATATTAATAGATTTTCTTGTGTTGATTGATTGTAAGAGATGAGGAAGGTACACTCAAACAAAAGTTGCATTGAAGATCAACAAGATGTTTGTTTTGTCCTTGCCAGGTGAGTTGGAGAGATTTTAATATTCAATTAATGTAGAGAGAAATATATATAGACAATCTTTGTACAAATAGTTTTTAGAGTGGTTATTTCTTATAACGTTTGTAAGAAATTTAAATGTCCATAGCTAAGTCAATATTAAATTCTCCAGTGACTAAATGATTACCGCAAAGCACTCCAAAAAAGTTTCGAGTGTTCATGTGTTGGGCTAGTGCGTTATAAGCACAGGCAGGCCTAATCTAGTCTAACTTATAAATGTGACATTATTGTAGTATTTCCTCCGCCGATTTTTAATTGTTTGTTATTGACTTAACATAATTTAAAGAGTAGTAAATAACACATTAACTTTATTATATAATAAATTCAATATTTTGAAAAATAGAATGAAAATAATTATAGTTAATAACAAACATAAATTAAGTTGTAAGTAATAAACTATTTTTAAATTTCTCAAATTGAATAAATAAAATTATTTCTATACTTGTGTCTCAAAAGAAATCATAAATAGTTATGCTACTATAAATCATTTGATTAAGAATTTTAAATATGTTTAAATTGATAGAGTAATAAATATGAACAATTTTTTTTCATTTTTTTGACGTAAAATACTATAAGTTATGACTTAAAATAATTAAAAATTATATAAGAAAATTGAGTGACTCTCCAAATTTCATCCATGCCACATAAATTAGGACCAAAAGAGTAACATAAATTAGGGCCGTACTGGCACGAGCTCACATATCTAGTATACATAGGTGAACTTAAAGTATCAATTGCATAACATCATAAATTATTTACGTAAGATGATTCATTGCTATTGCTATGACTAATGTCTATTTTTCAACATGTTTTATGAATATTTTGGGCAATAATCCTTTTCTTCAAAGGATCAACAATCATAAGTTTGACGTTAATATATATTATTGACATTTTACATTTCTTTATTTTCTTTTTAATAGTGAAGTATTTTCATTTCATATGCTTAATATCTCTTAATTTAAATGATAGAATAAACTATACCATAAAAAATCACAGTGAATAAGATAAAATAATTGTATACAATATTTTAATCCATAGAATATTCCTATCTTTTACCTCCACAATCAAATAGTATCATGATCTAAAAAAATTAATTTTATAATTTTTTTTACAAATTTATTTTTATGCATAAATAATTTATTTAAAAAATTCATTTTCTTCATTTCAACTCATAAGTAATCGGAATGTGGTGCAGTAGATGAAACAGATCTTTCTTTAATCAGAGATTCGAATATGTACATAATCAAATAGGCTCTGTTCGATACGAATAATTCAATCAAACTTCAATATAAATACTGAATAATAGATTGAACAATAAATAAAATCGAAAGTAGTCATTTTGAGTCATTTTTAACTCACGTGGTATTGGGTTCAATTAAACCATTCAATTTTTCTTCCAAAACTCACCTCGGTTCCTAAATCCTAGCACCGCCAGCTTCTGAATTGTTTTTCGGATCAAATGGGCTCCCTCCTCCCCTCAATGTTCCGCATCTGATCTGCAAATCCTTCAATCCCCTACAGATCGAACAATCACTAAATCTCTCTGCGCAAGGTCTAGGGTTTTCATCACGTATTCGTCATTCTCACCTTCGTTGGAGAAGATTTCTGGATCTCGCAATTCTAGGGTTCTTCAGATCCAATCGGTTTTTGAATGCGCATGTGAAATTCTCTATGTTTTTTGATAATTGAGGAGCATAGATCGATTTGATCTCGGATCGATTTGTTAGTGTATTGAAAGTTATAATTTTCGGAGATTATTATTGAAAATGCCTGTGAAAGTAGCGAGTGCGTCATTACGGGATCGTACTCAGGAGTTTCAGAGTATAGCGGAGAGGTTAAAGAAGTCATTTTCGTCTGTTCAGAATGGGCCGATTAGCACCAGCACCAGCAGTGGTTCTAGATCGGAGGAACAGAGGACCACTATTGCTATGCAATCGGAGTTCAATCGGCGAGCCTCCAAAATTGGTTTTGGAATACATCAAACTTCTCAGAAGCTTGCAAAGCTAGCAAAACGTAAGCCAATATTAGGACATCTCTTAGTCTCTCAGATACTTCATTTTGTATTAAGGATTCACTCTATATCCTATTTGTTTGTGAGATTGTACCAAGCTCGGCTAAAAGAGGAAGGGTAGCTGTATGTCGGCAACCAAACTAAAACTAATCAAAATATATCATTAGCCCACTCCAACTAGCTTGATGTTGAGGCATAGTTTTGGAGTTTCTAGTTGTTCTATGTCCCATTTAGTTCTTGGCCATCTTAAATAGTAGCAAACAAATTTGGAATGGAGGAGTATTTCTGTACTCCATATTTCCCATTATACAACTCTTTCAATATTTGGATAACCTTACAATTTCTTGAACATTTTATAGCTTTCATAGTAGTTAGTATAGTAAATTCTGATTAAATTTCGGATGTGTCAAATTGTATTTTTTTTAAAAACGAAATTACTTGTATTTGGGATCAGTCTGTAGATTAGAGATTTTACATATGGTGCTTCAACACCGTAGTTGGGACACTGGGATTTCTTTTGACAAGTTTAATAGTATAATTAACAGTGGGAAGAAAAATTCCTGATTACAAGAGGTATATCAGAAGTAGAGAACCTACGTCAAAACACGATTCTCTACAACAGCCTCTCAATCCTCTATACAAGTAGGAATACCGAGATTATTAACTTTTTCATTCTAGCAATCATGCGAGTCATCCCACTATTGGGAGGAAATATGAAGTCACACTAAACCACACTGCTAAGAAATGTATAATTATGGAGGTTGTGGTTGCATTTGTCGCTCTTGAAAGTTATTATGTTTTGAATTGTGATATGAAGGATTTACAATTTTGTTGCTAATATAAGCTTAATTTAGCTGATGTGAGCTGGCTGGGCTTTAGCCTCTGAGTGTTAGTGTCATAATGTGCATCCAATGAAGTTGATGGCTTTTAATTTTATTTTTTTGATAAGGTTGATGGCTTTTAGTTGTAGCACATAGAATTCTTCTCCATTACAGAGCGCTTGATGTTCTTTAGAAAAGAGATTCTGAAACACTCACTTGGTGGGATATTCTAAGTGGGGTGATTTTCTTTGAAAAGGTTTCATTCTAATATAAGCTTAATTTAGCTGATGTGAGCTGGTTTTTAGCCTTTGAGTGTTGGGTCATAATGTGCATCCAATGAACTTGATGGTAGCACATATAATTCTTCTCCATTACAGAGCGCTTGATGTTCTTTAGAAAAGGGATTCTGAAACACTCACTTGGTGGGATATTCTAAGTGGGGTGATTTTCTTTGAAAAGGTTTCATTTTTGTAGCTTCAGTCCCAGGGTTTAAAGGTTCTTCTGATTTCTCTGATTAGAAAT